CAATTTTCAGTTTGATTGACTACTGCAGAGAAAATTCAAGAGAGGTTTTTACTGGCTGCAAAGCATGTGTAGTAATGCTGATTGTACCCCCTTAGTGTCTGTAGCATTGGCTACTCAACTGGCCACCAAGTTCAGAGATGTTTTCTCAAAAAACAGTGCTGTAACTTATATTTTGATCGTGTGTTGAGTTATTAGAAATGCTGGAAGAGTATAATCCCACATCTATAGCATGATTCAAATTACAGTATGTTATACATTAGAGTGAGTGTGTTGTAAAGACTGGAAGCTGGGTATCCCATGTCTAGGGCATGACTGAAACTACTGTGTGTTGTAGCTTTACAAGAACTCCAGATTGCTCGGATGGAACTAGGGAAGGTGCAGGAGATGTTGAAGAGCTCCCCTGTAAAAGAGAGTCCTTCAACATCTAGCATCATATCGGGTCATAATGAGATGGAGGCACAAGAGCTGGAAAAAATAAAGCTGAAAGTGAGTCTTCCAAATCTCTTTAAACTATGTGTTTTAACCATTGCATTTCCTTCTTTACTGTATTTTGTTATTCTGTATGTCCACCTGTACTTCCTGGTTCTCCCATAACTGAACTTGTATACTTTCTATCAAGCATATTCTTTAGCCTGTTTTTGTAAGAATTCCCTAACCTTTCTAGTACTCATTTTATGTTCTGTATGTGTGTTTGCTTTAGACAGAGAAATGCTGTACACCCCCACAGGGAAAACCAGCATATGGCCAGCAGCCATATCACCCTACAACTCACAACAGGCAGCCCACTAGAGCTAAGCAGGTGTGAGCCTGGCCAGTACATGGATGGCAGAGACTCCTGGGATAAACTAAGGCTGCAGCTGGAAGATGTGTTAGTGGGGCCAGTAGGGGGCGCTCATCCCCAGTATAGTAATGGGGACAAAATACTGTAAAAAGGCACTGTCCTTCAGATGAGATGTAAAATTGAGGTCCTGATTCTCATTCTCAGGGTCATTACAAATCCCTGAGTGTCTTGAAAAGAGAAGGGGTGTAACCCTGGCCGGCTGACCTTTCCCAATCATACCCCACTATGTGTGGATGCTGCACATTGGTGGTGGTAGAGGGGACTCCCCATTTCCTGTAAAGTGCCTTGAGTGGGATGTCCAGAAAAGTGTGAGGATTTATTATTAATTATTATTAGATAGATAGATACTTTATTGATCCCGTGAGGGAAATTGCAGTGCAACAGCAGCTTAACACACACAACACAGCAAAAAAAAAATATTGCAAGGAATGAACCTGGAAGGTACTGCAAAGGTGGAGGGAGGGATGTGAGAAAAATGTCAACCTAAAAAGGGAAGTCCAGAAGTCCAGTCAAATATTATTATCATTATTAAAACATAAGAAAAGTTTTGAATAGCTATATTAAAACCCTTTCAGTTCTCTGTATTGGCATTATCATAATCTACAGTACTTCAAAAATATCTTCTTTTTATGACCAGAGATTAATGAAAAAGTACTTCTGCAGGAATTAGAATTAAATTCAATAGATATTTCATTGAAATCTTCCATAGGTACCAAGAATCAAACCTGTTCTCCTCCCTATTCTACCTTAGCTGTTAAAAGACACATAAGATTAATTCATTCTAACATACTATAAAGCATGCATTTGCAAACATTAGGGAGGGACGTTTTGCTTGTTAATTAAGGAAAAAAATAATTTGTGGTATTGGTAAATCAGAGCAAGATCAAGTCATTCCTATCCTAAATCACTGTAGAATTATCCATTTATTGTGTGTATTTTTGTCAGCATTAAAAGCTTTCGGAAAATAACTGTGCTGGTTTACTGATATTCTTAAGCTATTTATTTCATTATATGTAGAGTAAATGCTTGCTTTCATATCTTGTACAATACGTGGGCATTGAACAATATATCAATGATAACCTCTTTCTGACCTACAGGAGGATCGAGGCGATGACGCCCAGAGTAACAATTACAGGGAAAGGTCGCTAGAGGGGGCTCAAGCCTGTTTAGAGGTTCTGAAAAACAACCTGTACAAGAGAGAGAGGGAGATTACAGAGTTACTGTGGAGTGAGAAGGGCCGGCAGAAAGAACAGGAAGGAAGTGTAACCAGGCTGCCTTCATGTGCAATATTACTGAGGGCTGTCATTGAGAAGGTGAGAGGACCACTACACTGCATTAGTTTAAAGAAAGAAAAATACAATATGCCACCCTGAAAAACTGCAGACCAGCAGGACTGGAGATGTAAAGAAGCACCCAAAGCGGCCAGACTGTTCCACTGGGCTGCTTTGTTTTCATTACCAAGGTCAACATAATATTCCTTTCACTTCCAGACCAACTTCAAGTGCTTCTTTGACATATCAGCTTAGGGCTCTGTTTAATAACAACGTCTGCACATTATGTGCGAGGGAATTGATATAGTAATTCACAGAAGACTACCGCTTGTGTTTTCTTTAGCAAATGAAAAATCTTGAGGTGTTTTAATAAATGTGCCCACAACGTGGTTTTTAGTAGTTTTAGCATAATTCATAAAAAATACATTTTAATTCTCATATTGTTTCCATCAAGACAGGCCCATAATCTTTATCGTGAAGTTCCTGAAGCAAAGTGTGCCATTGACCACATGTCAGCACAGAACACTCTGGCTTGTGACAGAGCCAGGGACCACTTTAATCAAGCACAAAGCAGTGCAATGAATTGTGAAAAAGATCAAGGAAACATTGCAGATCTCAGCAGGTGAGATGTAAGCAGTTTTTGTTCAATAGGCAACGCCTAGTCTGCAAATGATTAGTTTTTGGATTATCCTTTCAGAATATGTAACCATACACCTCTAGGTTTATGGATTAAAAAGGCATGACTATGTTTTACTCCACCACAGACAAGGGTTAACACAGACTCTGCCCTATGAAATTCAATTCTGTGTCATGTTAAGATTTAGGAGGTGAGCAAAAAGAACCAAAAGCAAATTGTTTTAATTACTACACAATTTTATTGATAAGAATTTAAGGTTGCCTTAAAAATTTTGTTCTTGCTAATCTTGTCTTGTCCAAAAAAGTCCTAACAGTATTGTTACGAAGGCAACATTATAAATAAGATGTCTTTGTATTACCCATTTTTGTAACATGTTTCTTTTTAGTGCATTCCACATGGATATTAGTTTTTGAAAACATGAATAAAAATGCTGCCAGATAATGCTTATTCTCTTTAGTTTGCATTCATGTTAATAGCTCTTCAAAAGTACTGCCTTCATGCATCAATCTGGTAACGCATTTCAAAAGACACTTTATCTTGGTAAGGTGGACTAACTGATCATATAAATTCATTTTTCTAGTCCTGTAAACAGGGAAATCATATTCATGTAAATCAATGGCATTTTATTCTTCTTTCAGGAATAACCTAGGTGCAGATCCCAGTAGCAATCTCCAGACAGCTCAGGAAACACTACAGAAAACAGAAACTATTCATATTGCTTTGGAATGCATTCGAAAAGGATCTATTCTCATGTGTTGTGGTAAGATATTTGATTTGACTATGAGTAATGACATAGAAATTTAACTTCAGTTCTTTATTCCTTCTTCCTGTGTAACTTAAAGTCACAATGCTAGTATAGCAGTTGACTACAATAACATTTATAGTATGTTAATTGAGTGTCCCGTTAATTGTAATCAACCATTATATATAGACTTGCAGGATCTATTTGATGAGCTACAGTCCTATCTTCATTGTTAGTATTATCATTGTCATGCAATTAGAAATTACTTATTGTAATTATTTAACTTTATAGTATTGGAATTGAAAATGATTAAAGAAGATTTTCTATATGTGTGGGTTAAGTTTTGCGTCAGTGGGTCTAACTGCTAGTCAATTATTAAATTACTGACAGACACTAAATTATGTAAATTAAACCGGAATATCTCATGGACATATCCAATTGCCTTAGTTAATTTAATGTTTTTCCCTACTGCTTTTTCCAGGAACAGGCAGCACAGGGGAATTAAACCCTAACATTGGAGCACTGGACACAGAGCTTAATGAAGAACAT